TTAAACCAAAATGGTTTTTTCAGGTGCTGAAAAGAATTCAGCTAAAGAGTCCAAAGGCAAGGAGTTCCAAAGCACATGTGTTGCCACACTTAAGGATCAACAACTTACAAGGGCAGAATGAGTATGATTTAGCCCTTGTAACAATGCCAGTTCCGCAGTTTGAAGCAGATGAGAGAATAAAGATTGGGTAAGGCGATACCTCACATAAAATGGCCCAAAGCTCTTAAGGGCTTTGGTGACACATTGAATATCAGACCACTAACAAAAGAGCAAGCAGTGAAGTTCTCTCAGCAGAGCTGTTATATACTATAGAGTTGATAGACCATCAGCATTCCCTGTCTGTTCATCAACCCCAACAAACCCTCTTAACCCACCCCAAGGTTTTTTTTGTTAAAGCAGGTGATGCTTTTATGGACAATAGCAACAACACACAGCCCTTTGACCCCACTGGCAGGCCAGTGCTGACTATCCAGTTGATCTGAATATGGTCCTGTCCACCCAGCGAACACACCCAAGTTTCAGCAATACAGGCCAGGTCAGCCCCTGCACCTAGGATTACGGTGTGGATGTCTATGGTCTTACTTTGGACTGGACTGGCATTGAAGAACAGCATCACCAGATCAAATATCTCTGAGGGGGTCACCTAACAACTTTCAGGATCTTTAAAAAACTATAGTTCTCATTATTTTGGGGGGGGGGGAGCCAAAAGTGTTGGTATAAGAGTGTTTTCAGTGTATTATGTGGAAGTAACTCTGTCATTGGGACGCGGGTGGCGCTGTGGGTAAAACCTCAGCGCCTAGGGCTTGCCGATCGCATGGTCGGCGGTTCGAATCCCCACGGCGAGGTGAGCTCCCGTCTTTCGGTCCCAGCTCCTGCCCACCTAGCAGTTCGAAAGCACCCTTAAGTGCAAGTAGATAAATAGGTACCGCTTTATAGCGGGAAGGTAAACGGCGTTTCCGTGTGCTGCGCTGGTGCTGGCTCGCCAGAGCAGCTTCATCACGCTGGCCACGTGACCCGGAAGTGTCTCCGGACAGCGCTGGCCCCCGGCCTCTTAAGTGAGATGGGCGCACAACCCTAGAGTCGGACACGACTGGCCCGTACGGGCAGGGGTACCTTTACCTTTACCTAACTCTGTCATGTGCCAAGGTGAAGCTTTGGAAACACACAGTGGTGAGCTCTCTAGTGCAAGAGGTTCAAGTACATGATTTGGAACGGCCTGATTTTTAGTTTTGTTGTGGAAATCAATAATCACACTCAGATTCACCTCAAAAAGCTCTTTTTATTCAAGCACATGGAGATTCTCCAAACATTATCGGCATCATGGAGACTCTGAGGACCCAGCAAATATTTATGCATAAATTGACACACAAGTACCACTGGAAATGAAAAAGTACAAGCAAGTTTCAACATGTATTAACATTTCTAAATAAAACTGTTTGTCCCTTAGTTCAGCTTTGTACAATAGTACTTTCTTGTTCTAAACTGCATGGACACATGGAAGCAGAATTTTAGCAAACCATTTATTCTTGCAGGCTAGGTCATGTAGTAATGTTTCTCTTTTTCACTAGGGCAGTTTAAATCCTAAATCCTAAAAAAATTATTTCTAAGGCAGAATCCTCATGTGGTTCCTCTCTCTCTCTCTCTCTCTCTCTCTCTCTCTCTCTCTGTGTGTGTGTGTGTGTGTGTGTGAGAGAGAGAGAGAGAGAGAGAGAGCGAGCGCTGGGGTGAAAATGAATTGAAGAAGGTTCCGTTAAAACAATGGATTTGAATGGAAAGAAATATGAATCTGAAAAGAGACAGGTCTGTTGGTTATAAATATATATTACTTGGAGTAGCTCAAAACTTATTTTGGGTTGCAGTGGCATATAAAAACAGAACATTATTGGGGCTGCTCATCCAGATGTTGGGAGTCCAAAGAAGCCTTCACACCTACAGTGTAATCATCCTTATCTAGGGGTCCAGTCCATATTCTAGTGCAGAATTTGTCCCAACCTCTAGTACTAAGAATTAAATGCCATGCTTAGTTTTTGGCCCATCATCTGTTCCTTTGTGTTCAGATCAGGCCTGAGTATGATAACGTAGCACTTTGGGATGAAGATGCAGCCCAGAAGCCCAGCACTGGAGGCCAACATAGAGAAGACCTGCACGGCTACCATGTATTTCCCCTTGGTGTTCAGATAGGTGGGCACAAAGGACACCCAAACACTGCAGAAGACCAGCATGCTGAAGGTGATCAGCTTGGCTTCATTGAAGGCCCCAGGCAGTTGTCTGGCTAGGAAAGCCACTGTGAAGCAGATGGCAGCCAGGAAGCCCATGTAGCCGAGGGCAACATAAAACATGGCAGCAGATCCTTCATTACATTGCAAGATAATCTCTCCAGGTTGGGAGTGCATGTCAGATTCTGGGAATGGGGGAGACAGTCCCAGCCATAGGGTGCAGATGACAACTTGAGGACTGGAACAGGAAATGACAATAGAGTTGGCCAAACTTTTCCCCAGCCATTTCCTCATGCTGTTTCCTGGCTTTGAGGCCAGGAAAGCCAACACCACCATGATGGTTTTGGCCAAGACAGAAGAAACAGCAACTGAGAAGATGATGCTGAAGGCCATCTGTCGGAAAAGGCAGGTCACTTTCCTTGGCTGGCCGATGAAGATAAAAGAGGACAAAAAGGAGAGCAGAAGGGAGATGAGGAGGATGTAGGAGAGGTCTCGGTTGTTGGCTTTGACTAAAGGCGTGTCAAGAAATTTAATGAAGATTCCTAACACAATGCCTGTGGTTAAGGAAAAGAAGAGGGCAAAGGAAATCAGGAATCTTCCCAAAGATTCTTCATAGGAGAGGAAGGTGGTGGCTTTGGGGACACATCGAGTTCGGTCCTTGTTTGGATGCTGATATTCTGGGCATTTGGTGCATTTATTGGCATCTGCATAGAGAAAAAGAGACTTTGTAAGATGTGTCAGAGCCTCTTCCAGTTAATGTAGACCAGGGAAGAGCAACCTCCAGCCCATGGGTGATACGTGGCCCACTTGGACTCTCCATTTGACCTGCAAATCCAATTTTGGGAAGTGACCCTCATGTACACTACACCTGACATCAGGGTAGGGCTTGAAAGGAACTATTGGGAGCTCAAAGATTGCTCCCTCGTTTTCCATTACTGGGTGGCAGCATGCATTGCTCTAGGAAGGGAAGCCACTTCTCTGTTTCCACTGCTGTTCTTTCAACACTCAAAAACCAGAGGTACAAACCACAGCGTGTGGCAGTTAGAAAGCCCCTTGTAAACATCACTGTCCTGCATTTTGGACACCCAAATATCAGATGTTAGTGCAACAGTGCTGGGCTGCCTCCAAACAATTTTCAACAAAGCCTACACTGTACTCTGAAATGCAATTGGGGCTTTAAAGCACGGAAATTACCTGACATTTTTATTGCAACAGGTGATTGACAGGTTGTAAGCAGCACCCAGCTGCTAAATTTGGCCTGGCCTGCCAAGATTTGGGGAAATTAAGATCTGGACCACCAGTAAGAAAAGTTAGATCATTGGAATGACTCTGTATACAGGCAGATTCCAGTGTATTATGGCTAAACCTTAATGTTATGAGTTTGTGGCTGCCAGATACTTAATCCCCAGACCCAGGAAGTATGAAAATCTTAAAAAGCCAGGCTACTTTCCTCATTAAGTAATCGCCTGGGAGATGAACCATTAGAAGAAGAACAAAAGAAAGGTGGTGAGCCATTATGAAAACCAAGGAAAGGGGGCTCTGTGGCTGAGGTCAATTGGTGTGCCTCCTCCTCCAGCTCCTAGATAGTTTGAAGACAAAGCCAGAGTTTGAAGACACTTTAGAGTTTGGACCACAATTCCCGTCATCCCTGACTACTAGTCCCACTAGTTAGGGATGATGGGAGTTGTAGTCCTAAGTTTGGGAAACACTGCCTTAAACTGATAGAGGCCACAGTGAAATAGCTGGGTCCTCTCATTGGCCCTATGGGACGTGGGTGGTGCTGTGGTCTAAACCACAGAGCCTAGGGCTTGCCAATCAGAAGATCGGTGGTTCGAATCCCCGTGCCGGGGTGAGCTCCCGTTGCTCTGTCCCAGCTCCTGCCAACCTAGCAGTTCGAAAGCACATCAAAGTGCAAGTAGATAAATAGGTACTGCTCCGGCGGGAAGATAAATGGTGTTTCCATGCGCTGCTCTGGCTCGCCAAAAGCGGCTTAGTCATGCTGGCCACATGACTCGGAAGCTGTCTGTGGACAAACGCCGGCTCCCTCAGCCTATAGAGCGAGATGAGCGCACAACCCCCGAGTCGTTTGTGACTGGACCTAATGGTCAGGGGTACCTATACCTTTACCTCATTGGCCCTAGGACTGACTGGGCCCCAGAGCAAGACAATAGCTCCTATAAAATCACTGTCTGGAAGATGCCCCATTTTAAAAGGCCACAGGTTTGGTGAAACCAATACACCCTGACTTATCTTTTCCACTTTCTCTCAACCCACCTAGATAGCCCAGCAACATCAGATTCAAATATGTGTACTACCTGCAATATTACTGGTAGAAGTTAAAAATCATGGAATAAAATGCTGTAGAGTGGATCATTAAATCCAGATTCTACATGATGGAGTGAGTGAGTAAATAAAGGCTTCTTCTCCTGGTGCCAGAAGGACCATGCAGTTGGCAACAGAATAGCCCTCCTTGGAAAGGCCATTCCATTCATAGGATGCGATAACAAAAAAGCTACCCCGTGCCTAGCAAGACAGTGGTGGGAGCTATAAACTAGACTCGAATTACAAATGTCTTGTTTGGGCTAGCTCAACTTTTTGCTTCATCCTCCCAGGAAAGGCCCTTTCCTCTGACGTCCTCTCCTACCTTCCTGAGTGGAGATGGTCCCTTCGGAGCAGGGAGCACAATCATAGCAACATGGTGGCTTCCCTTCCTGCACCTTCTTGGCATATCCAGGGCAACAGCTCTCTGTGCATCTCGAACACGGCACCTTGTAAGCATAAGAGGAAGAAGACTCACTACTCACACATGCTCTCCTCTGGCTCTGTGGTTTGCAACAAGAAGAGAAGAAGAAGAAGAGTTTGGATTTGATATCCCGCTTTATCACTACCTGAAGGAGTCTCAAAGCGGCTCACATTTTCGTTTCCCTTCCTCCCCCATAACAAACACTCTGTGAGATGAGTAGGGCTGAGAGACTTCAGAGAAGTGTGACTGGCCCAAGGTCACCCAGCAGCTGCATGTGGAGGAGCGGAGACATGAACCCGGTTCACCAGTTTATGAGTCTACCGCTCTTAACCACTACACCACACAGGAGAAGGAACATCCAGGAGAAAGTGTTAGGAGCATTTGTGTCTATGGAATCAGGTCACAGCTTTTGAGAAGAGCACAGTGGGATATTTACCTCAAAAGGTAGGGATTCAACATCTCAGTGTTTGGATTGTGCCTTCAAAACAAGCATTTCTGCCCACCAGATGGAGCAATACCCACTCTCCTGCTCCTGTGAGCTGTTCTATAGGTTGCATTGACCCAGGTGTCAGCAAACCTTTTCAGCAGGGGGCCGGTCCACTGTCCCTCAGACCTTGTGGGGGGCCAGACTATATTTTGAAAAATAATAATGAATGAATTCCTATGCCCCACAAATAACCCAGAGATGCATTTTAAATAAAAGAACACATTCTACTCATGTAAAAACACGCTGATTCCTGGACCGTCTGTGGGCCAGATTGAGAAGGTGATTGGGCCGCATCCAGCCCCTGGGCCTTAGTTTGCCTACCCATGTGACCCTTCAGGGTAGATTTGGGGGATATGTCACCAGTAGGGTTGCTGCCTTTGTTCTAAAAATACAGAATAGTGTGAGACAGGGCGGTTTGGGGTCATTTTTTTCTTTTCATCTGGTGCTGAATGACTTTAAAGCAATCCATTACAATCTATTGCAGCCTGAATGAATTTATTTATTTCGGTCACTGACCAGAAATAACAAGTCCTAATTGTAATATTCAATAAACTATGTCTTGGTTAATTAAATGGCACAAATAATTTTGCCTACCTTGTTAAAGCAGAAGGGCCATGCAATTGCTTCTGGGTTGATGGTGACATTTAGATCTGAAGACCTTTTCAGATAATAGACGCCATAGGGAACAGCATAATTTCTCCTACCTTCTTAAACAGCTTGGGCCACACAATTGCTTCTGGGTTAATGGTGAACTTCAGATTTGAGGACTTCTGCCTCTTTATGCTTCCAATTTTCACTCTAGCACGAGAATCATTAGGAAACAGCACCCAATTCACAATATCGACGTCAATGGCCACTGCCCCATTCTCATCCAAGTATTGTCCAGCATCCGAAGTATTTGAAGAGAGCTGCACTTCTTTCAAGAAAGGATGAAGCTAATATGACATGGAAAACGCCAGCATTTAGTGAGTGTTCTTATGCATTCTTGCAAAATGGCCTGGGATCATGCTCATGTGTTAAAGGGTGCCTTGTAAATTTGTAGCAATAAATGAAATGCTATGCTTGACCCTGGATGCAGGAAAGCGTTCAGCGGGGAATGCATCTGCTCTGGATGTAGACGGTATTAGCTTCATTTCCCAATGGCATCTCTGAGTAGTGCTGGGAAAGGTTCCCTAGGTAGAACAATGATCTAATTCGGTGTAAGGCAGCTTATGGAATTGCTATCATGTCAATTCTAGACAATGAATTATAGTTTGCAAAAAGAAAATGGTGTACCTGCCATGGCTGTAGCCTTGGAAGTTCAACAATGTCTCCTCCACCCACCATCTGCCTCTTCTTGGATCCAGATGTATATGCTGTTTTTAAGGCCTGAGCCACAGCTTGAACACTATAGTAATTGATGTAGCTATCTTGTGACAGGATTCTTTCCATCTCCTCCTGAGGCGGCATCTCCAGATTCTCCCTCTCCCTGCATCTTTCCCAACCCCTCACGGACAATACATGCTTTGAATATGAACAATCGAATCCTTTCCACCAAGTAGGAGAATACACTGGCTCATAGTAGTCATGTTTTGTCCTTTTTTTAGTCTTCATTACAAAGGACAAAGAACCATGGGCATACCAAAAGGCTTCAGTCTCATATGTCAAGATTTTATTTGGAAGCGCTGTTGTTATCCAGACTTTTCCTCCAGTTTGTATCCTTTCAAGGAAGGATTGTACCTCCATGATTATAAAAAGTCCATCTTGATAGTCTGCATAGTAAACAAAGACATTGACTTGTCTCCACATGGCAGGTGCTTCATGGGGTATCCACAGCCAGGTTTGTAGTAGTACTTTTTTTGAGAAGGCAACACAAATCTCATTGCTGGTCATCAGAGGTGCCAAGGTGCTCAGGAACATTTCTCCATTATCGTTGTCTGGAGCAAAGAGGCCGACCCATGTCCATTTGAAATACAGGAGGAGTTGGACCATCCCGTGGTACTGAGTTTCTTCGTTGGGGGCCATTCTATAGACAAAAGGGGAATGGACTTTATCCTTAAGAACAAAGCCATAACTGAGCTGGTAAGGAAAGGTAGACAGACCAGTGTTTTGTTTCTTAGGACAAAGCTTTGATACTTCTTTGTGAAAGATGATGGCAAATTTAATTAAGGTAAAACTCAAATATTATTTAAATAAAAACAATTTCTATACACCTTAACTGCAATAGTCTCTAAACATCTTAGAAAGATGGACCAGAAAGAAAAAACAGAATAATTGGGTGCACTCTTCCCACCTTGGATCAAATCTATGTTTCCAGGTGCCATAAGAAAGCTGTAGAGATAGTGCAGGATAGTGCGCACCCCGGAAATGATCTCTTTCAGCTTCGTGCTCTTGATGGGGTTACACTTCCTCTGAAGGAGCGGGTTTGTAGCTTGGGGGTACTCCTGAATCCTTTGCTATTGCTCAAGGCTCAGGTGGCCTCAGTGGCCCGGAGTGCCTTCCATCAGCTTTGACTGGTGGCCCAGCTATGCCCCTATCTGAACAGGGATAGCCTAGCTATTGTCTATGCTTTAGTAACCCCAAGGTTAAATTACTGCAATGTGTTATACATAGGGCTGCCTATGAAGATGGTTTGGAAACTTATTTAGTGGAGAATTCAGCAGCCAGGTTGTTCATACATTTGTAGCATTTTTGCCTAATTCAAATGTTGCTATCTATTCACAGGTTTAGATAACAAATCTGCTGGAATGCCTTTTCCTGCCAAATATAAAACATCCATCAATGCATTCACCCAGCCACCGGCCGGCAGCTGGGTGAACTCCCGTTCTCGGAACAGCATCAATCAGCGACTCGAGCCTCAGAAACCTTTAGAGACTGAGCACGCTCTTATCAGCAGAGTGAATAACTTCTCACAACGGAAGTGACGGACAGAGACATGTGTAAGCATTATTTACAGGCGTTTATTCAGCATAGTTCAGGAACAACGGAAAACATGTCTGCTTCCCTTCATGTCCAAGCAAACAGCAATATACAAACAGAAGTTCCCAGCAGACTGTGCTGGAAGTAAACAGACATGTGACATACAGCAATCCACACATCTGAACCCAGTTCTTACCTGTGGGATCTTGTAGGTACTCAACATGCTTGCAATGTGTGTGGAGATGTCTGATTCGCCACCTTCAAGAACCACCAGCAGTTCTCCCCGTCTTCCACAGCTGTAGTTTGGAATGTTGATTTTCCCACCAGCAAGGAGGTCTGTCAGGGCATCAGAAGTCGTTCTTCCATCAAAATAGGTATCATAGATGCTGTAGCCCAGGGTAATGTTGGGTAAGAGCCTGGGGTTATGATTGATCTCCTGAATGGCAAGTGAGAAAGAAAGAAAGTGCCAGTTCCTTCCACCAATCCATCTGTCAAATAAAATGCATCGCATAGTCATCCCTGGACCAGTGAAAATGAAAGTCACATCCCCCCCCCATATACATCAAAGCAAATATGAAATGAGACCAGTAAGTATGGCGAAGTGGGACATAGGTCTACCAGTACCCATGTCTGCAGCACTTTTTTTGCAAAGGAGAAGGGTGGAGGGAAAACCAGAAATCAGCCCTTTTTTGTTTACCACCAGGATCAGTGGTTAGCAGCTGCCACTGTATCAAATGACCTCTCTAGGCATTGCGTATCTCACAAAAATTGTTTATCAAATAATGGTTTGCATGTTTGTAATGGGCGTATGACAGCATCTAAAAAAGCAGAGACATCACCTTGCCAACAAAGGTCCATATAGTTAAAGCCATGGTTTTCCCAGTAGTGATGTATGGAAGTGAGAGCTGGACCATAAAGAAGGCTGATCGCTGAAGAATTGATGCTTTTGAATTATGGTGCTGGAGGAGACTTTTGAGGGTCCCATGGACTGCAAGAAGATCAAACCTCTCCATTCTTAAGGAAATCAGCCCTGAGTGCTCACTGGAAGGACAGATCCTGAAGTTGAGGCTCCAATACTTTGGCCACCTCATGAGAAGAGAAGACTCCCTGGAAAAGACCCTGATGTTGGGAAAGATGGAGGGCACAAGGAGAAGGGGACGACAGAGGACGTGATGGTTGGACAGTGTTCTCGAAGCTACAAACATGAGTCTGACCAAACTGCGGGAAGCAGTGGAAGACAGGAGTGCCTGGCATGCTCTGTTCCATTGGGTCACGAAGAGTCGGACACGACTAAACGACTAAACAACAACAACAATGGGCGTATGAGAAGAGCAGCCCTTAATGCAGCCAAGATGAACTGCCCTGAGATCTTTTGATGAAGGGCAGTATATAAATTTAATAATAAATAATACTAATAAATAAAAGAAGTCTTAGGGATATGGGGCTCTGCTGAGCACTGGATAAAAAGTTATCTGAGTCATACTCGCTGAACTGCACTTCCTTAAGCATAGTAGTCATTTATATTTTGCAATTGCGTGTATTTTGTTGTGCCGGGAGGAGAAAGAAATGAGTTTCTCCCCCTTGAAAATGGTTCTCTCCACCTGCTTTCTAATTTTCATGTCTAGGAACATAGTCTGAGTATTCAGTCTTCCCCAATGTTCCATGGGAGACAAATAAGGGAATGAATGTTATTTTGGTTACTTCAGAAAAGCTACAACTCAAGCACACCTCACAGCATTTGCTACCTTATAGGAAACAAGTCATGCTTTGTAGGGCCTCACTCAATTTATTACTTAATTTAAAAAGCACACACACACACATTGAAACATGTAAAAGACATACAGAAATCTTTCAATCACTCAATGAATGAATGAATGAATGAATGAGGGCATTCTTGTTTAGACCTTCCAAGAAAACACAACCTAGCTTCAATCATCTTCATATCGCAGGTTTACAAGAGAGTGTTCGTTGTTTTCGTTTAAAACTATACTCCAGATTTTTCCGTTGTATTTGATCCCACTGAATGAGATACTGCCTCAATTATGATGCCCACGAGAAAAAGGGAACAAAGAAAAAAACAACCCCCAAAACAAGGGACAGCAATTTACCAGGAGTACCAGAAAGAATGGGACAGGGAGTTGGTAGGAAGCAGAATCAATACATCACTACTTACGACTCAAGACTGCTTAAGGGGGTTCTGGAAAAGGTGAAGGGATATTGACCTCCAATGAATCTTGGAGATATGACTCCACTAATGAGGTGGTCTCCTGGACTGTAAAAATTCAGTGCGCCGTTTTGATCCCTGTTCAGATTCAGTGGGCATTTTGCCCTCTGCTGAATCCCGCAAATTGCAAGAGGCAGCAAGAGAAGGAGTGTTGCCATTCTGGGTCTGCCTGCTACACTTCCCTTGTGATTGTTCTTCCCAACTCCATTAGTAGTTCATTGGAAGACAACCCAAATACTTGCAAGACAGTTCCCAGCTTCAGGGCCATAGCTCAGTGGTAAAGCATCTGTTTCACACCAGAAGGTGCCAAGTTCAGTCTCTGCTCACTGTTCCAGGTAGGGCTGAGGAGCTGCTGCCTGCCAGTATTGAGCTAGAAGGCAGCTTCCTGTTAAGAGTCACACAGACTTCTCTCCCCCAGCTCTTCACCTGCCAGATGCCCTGGTCCCAGAGACTCTGTGTCATGCAACATATTTATACATTGAACTTTTCTGGCACAATGGAATAAATAAACCCCTGGCACCCTTGATTGTGTTGTTTACCGTAATGTTCCCAAAGGCAATATTTGAATGATGTGTGAGGGCATCCCTCAGACTCTGGGAAAAAATAAGAGTAGATCACTGTGGTTCTGATAATTGTAAGGTAGGGGGGGGATTTCCTTTGAGACCTTATGAGAGCAGGTGCCAAGCAGGAGAAAAACATGTTTACCTTGGTTCTCAAACTTAATCCGTTCCGGAAGTCTGTTCCCAAACCAAGGTGCGCTTTCCCATAGAGAGTAATGCAAAATGGAGTAATCCATCCCAGACTTTTAAAAACAACCCCTAAAACAGCAATTTAACATGGATTTTACTATCTAACAAGACCATTGATCCATAAAATGAAAGCAATAATCAATGTACTGCAGTCACACAATCAATCAATCAATCAATCAATCAGTAGCTGAACTGGGTTCCACACAGTAAAAAAAAACCCCACAAAAAAGCCGCAAAAAAGACAGACCTCAGCGTAATACTCAAAACGGAAGCACGTTTGGCTTCCAGAAAAAGTTTGCAAACCGGAACACTTACTTCCGGGTTTGCAGTGTTTGGGTTCCAAGTGGTTTGAGAACCAAGGTACCACTGTACTCCCTTCAAGGCTGGTGGACTCTCCTTCACTGGAGGTTTCTAAGTGGATGGTCATCTGCCATGGATGCTTTAGTCATTGCAGGGGGTTGGACTAGATGACCCTGGGGGGTCCTGTCCAACTCCACAATTTTATTTTATTTTTAAGATAATCTTTATTGATTTTATGATTACATACTATACATATACACATTAGTTTACATTTACTCCTAAGAGTTGATTTCCCTCCTTCCTTCTTCTGGGTTTTTTAAGTTGTCTCTAAGTTTTGCGCATTGTCTTTATTGATTTTGTATATTGTTGTTCTTCTTTCAACTTTATCCGTGCAGTGTCTATATACAAATAAATCTTTCTGTATATACACGTCTTGTTGTTTGTCTATATTCATTTACAGATACAATTAGTTACCTTGAATATATTTTATATTTTAATTCATATTGTCATTAACATCCAAAAAGTTTCTTTTAATTTCCCATTATGAGGTTCATTTCCATTCTACTAATTTCACTATTTCACCTTATCCTATGTATAACATAAAATTTTCCCATTCTTTTTGAAATGTTTCATCGCCCTGTTGTTGAATTTCCCCGTTAATTTGGCTATTTCCGCATATTCCATGTCCTTGTACTGACACTTTTCTACTGTTGGCATTTGCTGTTGTTTCCACACCTGAGCCAGCAGTAACCTTGCCACTGCTGTTGCATATAGGAACAATTTCTGATCCTTCTTATCAATATCCTCTCCCACCATTCCCAACAAGAATGCCTCTGGTTTTTAAGAAATGTGTACCTAAAGATCTTCTTTAATTCATTGTATATACCGTACTTTCCCAAAAAGTTTTTACCTTATCACATGACCACCACACGTGGAAAAAATCACCTTCTTTCACCCCACACTTCCAGCAATTCATGTTTCCTGTTTTATACATATTTGACAAGTTAGTTGGTGTGAGGTATCATCTATACATAATTTTTAACAGATTTCCTTTTAACGATGTACATGCTGTAAATTTTAACTCCACAATTCTATGATTCTGTTACTCTATTAAATACTCCTTGTGGCAGCGTAGGCAATGGAAGATGTCCCAAAGGAAGCTAGTAAGCAAAGAGGACCTGATTTCTAGAGAACTCTCACCACATGTAATTCAGAGCTAAGCTAAGCATTCTGCCTAGCCCATATTCAGATAAGGAATTCATGTTTAGTGCCAGAACATGAGTTTATATCACTGTCACACCAAATTCAGCTCCTAGTCACCCTCGATGTTTATTCATCAAAGCATCCTAATTTAGGGATAGGCTGGCAGAGGATCTTCGTTGTTGTGAAAGATTTTAATTTTACACACACATTCATTTTTATGGTCCAAAGACACACAAAAGCGGTTTTGAAAGCAACATGCAGAGAAAACTTCCCAAGGCAGTCACTATGTTTTATCCAGAGAGTGTTGATTTCTAATTCTTAATACATCCAAGAAAATTTTTGCCATGGCCAGGGTAATATCATTTGTCTTATCTTCTATAATATTCTTGAGATGGAAGGTTTCAGAATTTCCAGGTAAATTTACCAATAAGGGTTTAATTAATTGACCCCTGGCTTGTTTATACAGATCGCAGTGTAGTAAGATATGCTTCACACAATTGACAGCCTGAGAACATAAGCAGAGTCTATTCTGATAAGTTATACCGGTCAGTCTGCTGTTTAGAATTTCACATGGAAATACATTTAATCTGGCTTTGCAAAACTGTTGTTGATAATTGGTTACTGATAAATTTGTAAGACACAAGGGTAATTGATATTCTTTATTTTCATGTTGTTTTTTAATTTAGTGTCACCACTCTTAACGAGTTTATTTTAATTAAACTGAGATGTATGGCTGCAGACAAAAAGGGATGTGGGTGGCGCTGTGGGTTAAACCACAGAGCCTAGGACTTGCCGATCAGAAGGTCGAATCCCCACGGGGAGCTCCTGTTGCTCGGTCACTGCTCCTGCCAACCTAGCAGTTTGAAAGCACATAAAAGTGCAAGTAGATAAATAGGTACCGCTCTGGCGGGAAGGTAAACAGCATTTCCGTATGCTGCTCTGGTTCACCAGAAGAGGCTTAGTCATGCTGGCCACATGACCCGGAAGCTGTACACTGGCTCCCTTGGCCAATAAAGCGAGATGAGCGCAGCAACCCCAGAGTGGGTCACGACTGGACCTAATGGTCAGGGG